GTGGCCCCAATGAGGGCTCGCTGTCCCCTCAGCCCCACCACCCCAGGGACCGTCCCGAGGGTCACCCCAAGGCCAGAGGCCACTGGCCACCACCAGCACACTGTGACCCTGTGCTGACACCTGTGGGCAAGGGACTGTCCTCGTGTGTCACCCTGCCCTGCCTGGCACCCTGCCCCGCCCGGCGCCGTGTCCCTGCGTGTCACTCTGACCATACGTGTCACCTCACCCTCCCTAGGTCACCGTGTCCCTACAGGTTCCCCCGCCTGACGTGGCACACTGTCCTTGCCCACTGCACTGTCCCTGCTCCTGAAATGTCCCCTCTGTCTCTTTGCCATGTCTCATGCCCTGCCTGTATTGTAAATGTTGGTGAACTCGGTGGGAAGAAATAATGGTGTTTGATAATAATGGTGTTTGATTCTAGTTTAGAAGGTTGAATGATTTCTTTATTATAACTATACTATAATACATAAATATGCTATTTAAAGGAGATACTAAACTACATACTTACTTTTTCTACTTACTATATTTAGCTAATTCACAACTTGTGATTTCTCTTAAGGGTCCAGACACAGATAGATTGGATTGTCCTTCAGGCTCAAACAATTCTCACCAGAATCTACTTAAACAATCACCTCAGGTAAGCAATTCTCCGAACACATTTTTCCACGTAGGAAAAACAAGGAGCAGAAATAGAAATTGTTTTCTCTTTCTTTCTCTCTGTGTACCTCTATGAAAAATCCTGACAGAGAGAGAAATTTTCTTGCCACACCTATACACGCTCCTGTTCCTGTGTGTCACCTGCCTGTCCCCACAGCCCGGTCCTGGGGGGATTTGGGGCTGCCAGGGGAGCTTTGGTGCCCCTGAACTCATCCCCGGGGACACAGGGACAGTGCCACGGCAGAGCCACACAGCACCTGGTCCCTGCCCGTGGCCTCGTGGGGAGCCAGGGTGTGGGGGCACAGCGGGGACAGCAGCAGCAGGTCTGTGCTGTGCCACGGGGGCTGTCCCCACCCGGCGGCCGTGCCCCTGACAGGGCCCAGCTGCAGCGCCCTGGGGATGGAGCCTTCCCTGGGAAAGGGCAGGCGAGGAAAGGTGGCCCCAGCAGTGCCCCCTCCACAGCCCCTGCTGTCCCCCCATCCCATTCTCTACCTCCTCCATCCTCCCATCACTCCCTTCCCTCCATCCCCTCATTATCCCTCCACCGCTTGACTCCACCCGCAGTGCCCCCTCCATCCTTCCTCCATCCTCCCTCCATCCTCCTCTCTTTCCCCCTCCATTTGTCACCCTCCCCATCACCTCCATCCATCCATCCATCCATCCATCCATCCATCCATCCATCCATCCATCCATCCCCCTGCATCATCCATCGTCCTCCCTCCGCCCTCTCCATCCCTCCTTCCATCACTGCTGCACCCCCACTCCCACCCTTCCTCTCCTGAAACTTCCATCGCCCTCCATCGCCCTTCACTCTCCCCATCATCTTCTCCATCCTCCTCTTTCCCCCTTCATTGTTCCTCCATCCCAATTCCATCTCCCCTCCATCCCTGCTGCATCTCCCTCCTGCTTTCCTCCCTCACACCCTCCTTGGTCCCCTGGTCCCCCTCCATGGCTGGGGCTGTGCCTTTTGGGAGGGGACTGTCCCTGCCTGGAAGCTCCTCCTGGAGCTGGAGGACTTGGATAGTGCCAGGCAGGCCTGTGTATGGCAGCAAATACCCTAATTAATTGATTATGGGATAATCTCTGGTTCCAGGGAAGGAACGGGTGGCTGCTCAGACTTGATTAACCACAAGAATGTTTAATCTCCCTGCAGCCCCGTAAGGCACCAGGATTATTCCCACTGGGATGCACCAGCCATGCCTGGCTGCAAGGGGACACAGAGCCTGGGACGGCCCAGGGACCCTCAAATTCCACAGGGTGACCCTGCCCTGGCCCCACAGGGATGGGATGGGATGGGATGGGATGGGATGGGATGGGATGGGATAGGGGATTATCCCTGAGCTGGCTGCCAGGTCTGAGAAAAGAGCTCTGACCTTGTCAGAGTGCTGGGACTGGGCATCCCCTGCTTCTCCTGTCTCTGTCCTGCACCCTGCTTCCCACATCCCTGATCCCCCATCATGGACCCTGCACCCTGCTTCCCACATCCCAGTCCTGTATTCTGTATCCCACATCCCTGATCCCCCATCACAGACCCGGCATCCTGTATCCCACATCCCAGTCCTGTATCCTGTATCCCACATCCCAGTCCTGTATCCCACATCCCTGATCCCCCATCACAGACCCTGCACCCTGCTTCCCACATCCCAGTCCTGTATCCTGTATCCCACATCCCTGATCCCCCATCATGGACCCTGCATCCTGTATCCCACATCCCAGACCTGCATCCTGTATCTCACATCCTGCATTCCACAAAAGTACTCTCCATGCACACAAATCCTGCATCCTGCATCCTGCAACCCACATCCCAGACCTGCATCCTTCATCCTCAACCCTTCATCTGGAATCCTTCATCCTGCATTCCAATGCAGCATCCCAGCCCAGAATCTCAGTCCTGCATTCCAGTGCTGCATCCCAGCACTGGACCCCAGTACTGCATCCTTCATCCCACATCCCGGTCCCGTATTCCAATCCAGCATCCCAGTCCTACATTCCAATCCTTGTCCTACATCCCAGTCCTGTATCCTTCATCCCATATCCCAGTCCTACATTCCAATCCTTGTCCTACATCCCAGTCCTGTATCCTTCATCCCATATCCTAGTCCTACATTCCAATCCTTGTCCTACATCCCAGTCCTGTATCCTTCATCCCATATCGCAGTCCTGTGCCATTCCTGCATTTGTGATCCCATATCCCAATCCTGCATTCTGTATCCTAATCCTGCATCCCAGCCCTGCCTGGCAGACCCGTATCCTTCATCCTGCATCCTAATCCCGCATTCCAACACTTTATCCTTCATCCCACATCCCGGTCCTGCATTCCAGCCCAGCATCCCAGTCCTACATTGCAGTCCTTTGTCGTACATCCCAGTCCTGTATCCTTCATCCCACATCCCAGTTCTACATTCCAATCCTTTGTC